AACTAATACAGCATAAAAAAGAAACAAGATAAAGCACATACAGGGTAACAAACAAAGTTAACTAAAATTAAGTTGCATGCACAGCCTAATGGAATGGGGAATAAGGAGTTTTAATATGAACAAAGCATACAAATCATACAACAAAGATTCAACTAGCATAAAATATAGGGTTTAAGAAAAATTAACACACAACATATAATCAAAGCATCATAGCAAACTAAAAAGGGATGCACAAAAGCAAAGCAAACAAACAAAACATGTAGTCTAAGCATTTTACATAAATTAAAACTAAGCAAAATAACAAACACATAGCAAATTTACAAGCACATAGCACATTTACAGCTTGGGCCACTCCAGACCTGGATCAGTCTCCCAAACTCTTTGTAGTTTTCAACCTTGCGGATGTCATTAGGGAGACTGTTCCATATCTGGGCACCTTCAAACCGAAAAGAATTCTTACCGTATGTTACTGTTTTGACCCTTGGGACATTTACACTTTTTTGATACCTAAAAGAATAATTGGAATTTTTAAATTGAATTAAATCATTTATATATGGTGGTGATTTTCCGTACAAGCATTTAAACACTTCTTTGGCTATTATTTTAATTCTTGACAAATGTAAAGTAGGCATATTTACTTTTTTTAATAATGTGTCATATGAAGAATTAAAATCATTAAATACTATTTTTAGAGCTCTATGCTTGAGTTTTTCAAGTTTTTCTGTGTACAATACATGTATGCATCCATTTAATGAGATTTAAAAAGCATCTTCAAATATATATGCAAGTTGCAAAAAATGGCCTACAACAGTTTGATGTTGACATGTAACATATAAAGTAAAATGTTTTTGATTAAGGGGAGTTCGAGTTAAGGTTCGAGTGATTACGAACATTTTCATTGGCTGGACTAAACTTAACTAAACTAAACTATACTAAAATGAACTGAAATGATCGGAACCGAACTAAATAAATAAATAAATAAATAAATAAATTACAAGAAGTATCTTTTAAAAATATCTTCGGCCGAAGTAAAGCTTGTTAAATAGTTTTCATATGTTTTTCTATGTTTTCGATACATTTCTAGAAATGTTAGAATGCTTGCATAACAATGAGATGATAATTTCTTGTAGCTAAGAAAAACATAGAAATTAAACCAAAAACGTATTGAATGTATTGTTTTCTTTGATTTTCTTGACGGTTACTATTATTTCTTATGTATCATTTTAGAGATTAGCATGTCCGTGCTCTGCCTTGCGCCCTGTCCTGTTTTTGACTGGAGTCCTCCTGGGCTCCTTGCCACTGCATGGTTCGTCTTGCCGGGTCGTTTGGGGGTTGCGTTCATTGAACGTCGCCTTTCCTTGTTGATCTTGTTTATCATATCTCTTCAAAGTTGGACAACTTCTACTTTACAATATTTATATTTAGGTGTCTTTATTACATGTTTTAGGTTTGACTTCATAAATTTTGTAATCATATGCAATATTGACAGTATTATAATGAAATATTGTTAATAGGAATAAAAGTATGATGGATAATATAAAATAAACAAACTACTTATAAACGTTTCATATTTAATTTAATGCAAACATCTATGATGAGAAAGGAAGATATAAAACAGACTAAAACTTTATTAATTGGCCTTGGTTTCACAAACAAAAACAGTTATAAACAATTTAAGGTTCATAACCCCACCCAGCGCATTTATTGTATGAAAGTTTGGGGGTTAAACTCCATATACAAATAGAACAATTTATTTTGTACACAGTATTTTCGATACATACATTTCATTTTTACTCTCAGTGTTAATTGTTTTTATTTATGTATACTGAATGTCATCTTAAATTCAATAAACATTACTTATACAATTAAAGTTTAATCAGAACAAAATTTGGAACGGAAGTTTATAAATGCAAAAGATTTGTTAGTATAATAAATCCACGGATTTGCAACACGTACATAGGGAAATACTAAAAGTTAATTTTGGTACTTCGGTTTCAATTAGACGCCAATATAATGCCTGATGAGAAAATGTTAATTGATTGCTCGTCCCGTCATTTTATGTACTATGTTAAATTACATGTATTACAATTGACAGACTAAACAATAGGGTTATTAATTAATCTTGAAAAAATGGAACACTGTAAGTTGAATGTTTCCTTAAATGAACCTGTCGTGTTTCGGTAAGTGAACTCAGTTTCTAACACCAATATCTATGCAATCCATAGGTAATTATAATTATATTTATAGATACTTCAATTAATGCAAAACTATATAAAAAATAATAAACACTATATTAATTGAACACATCGATGACCATATAATATATTGGAAAGTGGAAACTTATTGAACATTATAAACTGAGGGTACCGGATTTGGGCAATTTCTTGTGCATGTGTAAACTTACAAGATCATGAACATTATTGGTGGTCTTGTTGTCTTGTTGTTATGGACAAAATTGACTTGCGTGAAATAAACACACAAAGTTCTAATGGAAAATAAACTGTTCACTGAAAATATAAGATATAAATATTTAGAGATCTCAGCGCAATGTAAATTGTTTTGTTGGAGGAAGTGTGGCTAAGTAGAACTTATATATATGAGAGATTTAACAAGAAAGTTTATGAACTATCATTAACATTTTATTTTAGAACTATCCTTAAATTTTGATTATTTTAGAATGGCAAAACACGTTCCGTTACATTTTAATTTACAATAGCCAGTGAGATTTCCAGATTTCAGTTTGTACTTCGTCTTATTTAATGGATTCATGACTAATGAAAATTCTTCTTATATTCAGTTCATTCCTGTAAATTTACAGGAAATCAAACTGATTTAAGACGGTCTTTGGTCGAAAAAAAAAAAGAATTGGAATTTACTATAATGGATCGTTGCACATTTTGACATAAAAGAGCTATTATGATTACATGTACATTTTTTGTTTAAAGTTGATTTATTCAAAATATAGCTGTAATGGAGAGCAGCTGTAATAATATATAACCTTTGGCTAAATGTTTGCAATTTTATTAGAATACATGTAGACTGTTTGTAACAAAAACGCTTTGGATGTAGATCGGATCTCTGTCCTAACCGAGTACTTGCCTTTAAAACAAAAAAAACATCATATACCAATAAATCTAAACTCGTACACTCATTATACCTCAGAAAGACATATTTTTTTCTTAAAGGGACTTCACTCCACTGAGTTTTTATATATATGACAGGACTTCAAATATTTTTTTCAAGATTTATGTTCCATTTGATGTAGGTCTAAACCACGTACATGAACTAGTGTGTAGAAATCAGCTCATCCGCCCACTCCATTTGTCCTGAATAATAATTCTTATTGTAAAAAAATGAATCAAAGTTGAAAAAATCGTTGCAACGCTTTTCACTGAAATCGTGATAAAGATAACACAAAAATACGATTTTCAGTATATTTCTGAATAAATTTCTTGTAGTCTTTTGCATATCTTCTTGTTTTTAAGAGCCCCAGCTGAGCCAAATTTGATTACAATTTTAAGAACTATCAAGCATACGTGTAATTATGTTTAAATAATGGATTTATGGCACTTTAGATGTTTAACAACTGAAGGAAGATAGCGCCGAACGTGCAGTAATATGTCAGGAAGGTGGCAAAATGTAAACAAAATATTATTTTGACCCCCACACAAAATACTGATTCACTATAATTGTACCAATTGTATCAATTACCATTTTTTTTGAGAAATAAAATGAAAGCATTTCTGAGGCATAATGGGCCTTTAAAGAAATTTGAAGTAGCGTGATCAAATCTGGTAACTATAGTAATACGAGTAGCCTGATCTTTATAAAACCCGGTTAAACTGTATTATGTAAAATATTTCGTGATTAAGTGAAGTCCTGTGAGGATTTTTTTTTGTTAAAACAAGTTTATGATTGTAACAACTGTCCATGTAAATTGTTAAAAAGTTTCTGAGAGTTGACAGGGTGGAACAACAGGGTGTGGTGGAGGGTGCAAGATCTAGCAACTAAGTGTTTGTGATTGAATTTTGCAACGTAAATTTTGTGTAATTCTATTTAGATATCTGAACTGTTTCGAAAATATCTAAAATTTATTCACAGAAATATTACCAGAGCTAGGTCTATATATTATGTTTATGATACTATTATTTTAAAACAAATCATAGGCTATTACATAAATTAAAACCCTGGGATTATCCGTCAGTCCTTGACCAACTTTTACTTCGATCGTCCGAGTAACTAGCGATTAAATTACATTTATATTAATTGACTGTTTTAAAGCCACCGATCGATGAGTCATCTAATTCTGAGATTGTTTCTCGCCTTTAGTTTATTTTCTAAGGATCCTCACAAAGTATTATTCAAGTATGATTATTATATTAATATAACAAATTAAGTCATTGGGTCAGATTTTTACTTTTTTTTATTTTCATTTAAGTATTTAGTAATAATTTAGTATTATCATTTTCTGTGAGGCCAGCTGAAAAGAATTAAGGACGTTTACAGTGTTTAAATGTAAAGAAAATTATTTATCTGCATTGTAAAATTTCTAAACATTTGGGGCACTGTCGATATTTTGTCAATATCCAATACTAAACAAATGAATCCGTTTAAATTGATCAACACGGAGAGCACACGGTAATCGTTAAAACTCTCAAAGGCTTATTCAAATTATTTAAATACGTATTCAAACAATTCGTCATAAACTATATAACTTTCAGCAATCTAAATCGATGTCTGTTGCAAGAAAATCTATTTAGCAAAACATAATTGAAACGTTTTGTATACATTATATTTTAGTTTTTTTCTTTTTGAATAAATAGCATTCACGAATGCGAATTATTGATACATATTAAAAATGTTATATTGTATTGGGTCATATTTATTATTACCGTCTGCAGCCTCTGAAAAATGGAGCGCCTCCCAATTTGGACTGAAAAAGAGCGTTTATACACAATTAAACTAATCAATTATTGCTTCGGCATTTTAAAGGGACAGCGATGACCAACAGAGAGAAGGATTCCTTTTTGCAGTCCATGAGTGATAAATTCAGGTAAGTTATTTTATTTATTCATTTTTTTATCTATATATCTATATAAGTCGGAAGCGAGAGGATCTCTACAGTAGATAACATTTGAGTTGCATTTTTTTACAATTCCCTTTATCGGAAAACTTGACCAATGAAAAAAATACTTCAAATCCTCGATTTTATAACTAAATAGATCTATTAATTTGAACTAATAATAATTACAAATTGTCAGCAATAAATACTGAAAAAAAAGGTTTAAGTCATTTTTCTCTATAAATCTAATCAGAAGCCTTTTAAATATCAGGAAAACATTGTCAATGGAGGAATTTAGGCATGCGACAAGAGTTTATACCAATTAGAGTGTGTATTTTTAATGGGTTTACACATTCTTACAGCAAGATAAATTTTTATGAAATACAATATGAATATACTATAACCTTTAAACATTCTTTTTCCATATATGCATGGCTTATACTGAATGTGGAAATTCAAATGTCTCGCAGTTTCACACACATGACTGCTATGTGTTCAATGAATAAAATTTGTTACTATCGTGGGGTGCCCTAAATTCGTCCCTGTTCTATAGTCAACACCTTTACTGTGAATGTCATATAGTCACCAGATAGAAAAGGACATCAAAGTTATTGAAAATACTAGGTCTTATGGTTATGAATTATGACCCATTCCATAGGAAAGAGCAGTCCTTTTTGTTTGTAATTACAAACTTATGCACCCTGACAGTTTATTTTCAAAAATAATAAAAAAAAGTTGTGAACTTTCAAATTAAACAGTTAATTTTTGTTGACAACTGATAGGGGTATCCTTAGGCAGTGTTTTTCTTTCCTTATATAACATGCACAATAACCATAGATCCCCTTTCAAAACCTCATTTTATTATGTCGCCTTGAAAAGGCGAAAAAATATAGGGGTATACTTGTCGGCGGGGTCGATGTCGGCGTCGGTGTCGTTGTCGACGGCGGTGTCCCCTTATGCTTGTCCGGAGCATAACACAGTCACTATATGTCGGATTGACTCCAAACTTAATATGAATGCTTCTTTTAATGACCCGAATTGTACTGCGTAAGAATCGTTACACAGCACGTCTTAATTTTTCGCGTTATTGCCCTTTGTTAAATCTTATACCTTATTTTTGTCCAGGCCATTTCCTTTAAACTATAAAAGCTACGGACTTGAAACTTCATAGCATGATAGGTCTTATTAAGAAAAAGTGCAGTGCACAAAAACTGGTACTCTGCACCTCTTAATTTTTTAGTTATTCCCCTTTTATATTTTTCAAATTTCATTTTTGTCCGGGCCATTACTCCTAAACTATTAAAGCTATGGACTTGAAACTTCATAGGATGATATGTTTTATTGAGATAAAGTGCAGTGCCTAAAAACGTGTACCGTGTACTCCACAATTTTTGAGTTATTGCCCTTTGTTGATTTTCTTACTTTATTTTTTCCCCGGCTTTTTCACCTAAACTATAAAAGCTATGGACTTGAAACTTCATAATGTGATAGATCTCATTGAGAAGTACAGTGCAAAAGAACCGGTACTCTGTACCTCATGATTTTATAGTTATTGCCCTTTGTTAGTTATAGTACTTTATTTTGTCCGGGCCAATTCTCCTACGCTTTAAAAGCTATTGACTTGAAACTTCATAGGATGACAGATCTCATTGCGAAGAAGTGCAGTGCAGGATAATTTGTACTCTGCACTTCATGATTTTGAGCTATTCCGTTTGTTAATTTTCTTTCTTAATAGGCTTGTCCAGAGCATAACTTGGTCACTATAAGTTTGATTGATCCAAACCTGGTGTGTAAGCTTTTTTCATATACCTGACAGGGACTTTGGATTCTTTCATGTGAGGAAGCTATCCAGCTAGCTTACGGAACGTCGGTGGTTCTACTCAGGTGCCCGTCCGTGCCTGAAATAATGCACGGAAGGGCACCTGAGGTCTTCCTCCACCAGTAAAGCTGGAACGTCGCGATATGACCTATACTGTGTCGATGTGACGTAAAACCCAATACAAACAAACAAACAAAATCTGAAGTGCAGTGCTTAAGAATCCATCACAGAGTCCTCCATTTGATCTGTCAGTTTAAAACGTTCCCTGCTATTTTTATTTTTTGATAATATAACAGTTTTATTAACCCTGGTGTAACATTGTTACAATCAGTTTAAATGCCACTGAAGTTAAAGGTACATAAACATTGTACGAGTAGTGTTTATAAATAACCTATATTTAAGAAGAAAATGCATAAGTGACAGTTATACTGTGCACAAGGCGACACATCTGACTCGCGGGGTTCTAGTATAGTTGTTCATATCTTTTACTTGTTTATGGTACATTCATATGGGATACTGATGGGAAAACATACACATGTATGATTGTACTGAATCAACGGGCTGATTTTAGGCTTACAAGTACCTTTAGACAACTTTTAATAAATTACTATATCTAAGAATAAGTTGAACAAAGGCACTTCTTAATAGTTTCAAAATACCAGTAGGCAAAGTCAAAGTAACAAACGTTTATATATAAGTATGAACGTTAGAAACTATAGACAGATTTACAGTGTTACCAAATAAAAACAATCATCTTTCAGTATGTAATACAGAGGAATTGGGATCTAACTATACAGTACATGTAGCGATAGTACATGTGGAATCAACGTTCATAAATTTATCAATGCAAAACTCCGATGATTTTACCTTGTTTTGGGCAAATTATCATCTGTTTTTCTGGTCGTATGCAGGCTTGAAATCCATTTTGTAAGACAGAAAGATACGAGTATAATATTTTGACGTTACGCGGAAAAGTGGTGGTAAACGCCCTATCACCATGATTAAGCGCGAAAAGATTATTTGTGGTTACTTCATTCCAACATCCAAAATCTCCCCTGACCTGTAACATTTGGAGTTCACAGTGAGGATCGAACTCACCACGAAAATATTCCCAAAGAATAAAACAACTGATTTTGCTAATACTATATACATAACAATTCTACAGTTTACAATGTATTAAATATTTCAGAATGCTTCCTGATCCTGATCATTCCACGTACATGTCTCTATGTCTGTCTGAAATTCTATACGACATTGGTGTGAATGAAGATATGGTGACGAGAACGAGACGAGCTTGGCTTCTGAGAGAATCACTGACAACTGTTAGTCACAGATCAAGAGGAATACCAGAATCAGATTATATATTTGGCAGTCTCACCGAGGGGGCTACAACAACGTGGTTACGCTCAGATAATGATTTTTTGATGTTCAATGACAATGACGAAGTATTTTCTGACCTGAAGTATTGTAGGCAAGGGCAGCTTGTAATGGAAGATGATTCTACACCGCCAGGATATTGCTATATTCGTGAAGTCTTAGGCGACAATCCCGGCAAATCCCAGGCATCACTTCTTCCGCATTGGATTTCTTTACCAGATTCCTGGAAATCCGACGACGGCGAGGATTATGAATTACACGGACCTGCTTTACGTTGCCAGGGACATACCACATACAATGCTCAAGACTATGTTACTGCTGACTTTTGCAAAACTTGGCCAAACAGGGCAAAGCAGTGGATATTAGAAGAAGGTGTTGGTCACTGGTCAACAAAAGACATTAAGTCGTTTGCAGAACAGAGTGGTTGTTTTCTTGTTCCGGTTGGTAGTAAAGGAAGTAAAATGGAAAAATATGAATACAGAATATCTACATGTTTAGCTGAAAGAGCTCTAATGTTAAGTTTGAATATCACACAACTAAGATGCTATATTCTTTTGAAAATTATTATAAAATCATTTTTTAAAGCTGTGGTACAAGATGTCATCTCAAGCTATATATGTAAAACTGTCCTTTTTCACTGTATAAAACATACGCCTTCAGTCTTATGGAAAGAGTCGAAATTGTTGAACTGTTTAACGCTATGTTTATCGTCCTTGCAATATTGTGTTCTTATTGGCCATTGTCCACATTTCATCATACATGATAACAATTTATTGTTCGGACGAATATCACCTCAGTTAAGAACAATATTTATAGAAATTACAGGGTTGATATCAATGTCATGCGGATATGCACTTACAGCAATTTTGTGTGAAAACCTGGGAGTAAGGTTAAAGAAAAAATTAAACAAAACAAAACTACCGCTTCAAGTAGAAAGGGGAAGGATCAAACGTATCGGAACTCTTCTGCAAAACACTGGCAAGGTTATTCACAATTTTTATGAATTGATCTTATATGACGCAAACTATAAAGATGACGAAGCATTACCGTTTTTATATTTATGCGTATCCCAATTGGTGAATATTCACAAGATGGGTAGTCGATTAGAACGTTTAGCATGTAAATGTCTCGCAAAGGAACTAAGTTCTACAATAGGATCACTTTTGGCCTCCTCTAATATAAGGTCTTCTGTGTCAATTTCGAAAGCTTCATTAAGTTGGTTTGATGCAAGTCTTGATTCAAACATTTCATCTAACAGATTAAAACTGGCGTCCGTTTTCTACACTGCTGGTGAAATAAATAAAGCGCTTTCAATAATCAAAGACGTTGAAAATCGTTATGATATTAATACAGTGGAACCAGTTTGCCGTTGTACTACACAATCAAGTCATCCAGCAAGAGAGGGATTTGACAAAGCCGCCGAACATTATAATGAAAATGGTATGAAATATGCTGTTGCGTATTGTGTAAATTTCTTGCGCTGTGAAAGAACGTGTATGCCCAGAGAGTTGCACTTAGAAGTGCACAGGACGACAGCAGCGGAACAAAATTTGCGACATTTGAAAAACCAATGGTTAGATCTTGCATTTGTTGATTCTCTCACATTTCTTTTATTTCTAAAATACAAGATTTTTAGTTGTTTAGGAAAAGAAGCAGAGCAGAGTAAAGCTTTAGATGCTCTTATCAAAGCTATCCGTTTTGAGCCAAATTTAGGTCACAGAGAAACTGGATTGAATTTAGTGGGACAAATTATGGTAGAAAAAGGGAAATTACATAAAGCATTGCTTTTCTTTCTAGCGTCACATATTATCAAGCCCAGAATTAACGCTGCAAAGATCCATATATGCACTGTCATTTCAAAACTTGTGAAATTGAATACAACTCCTGTTTACTAGTGATGTTTTGAATAAGTATAAAAAAGTATATGTTTGTAATGCTATGTTATATTTCAAGTTAGCAAAAGATGTAAATTCTTTATAATATCGATGGACACAATAAGGAAATATTCTGTTTTTTTTAATACAATATGCTGCTGACTTGTTAATTGACCTATAGAAGATTGACAATATTATTGCAATTACCACTGCCGTCCGTGAACCAACGTTTACATGGCCGAAAAAAGGGCGGATGTTTTATTGTTTCGGTTGTCTGAAAAGGAAGCAAAATAATAATATACAAATACAGAATATCGGCATGAGTTGTTATGATGCATTTTTTAAAAACATTTCACCTATTCCGAGAGAGAAGGTGTCATTTCAAGCTATACTTGTAATACTGTCCTTTTTTACTGCATAAAACATATTCCTGCCATCTAAGGGAAATAATCTTTATTATTGACCCGTTTAACACAGGCTTTCTAGTCCTTACATTACAATCCTCTAAGATACCAGTAAGTCTTTTCAGGATTTTCATGTATCTACCCTTTTTCAAGTTAGATGTTCATGAGCATGTTTAAGGACCATTACATTATCTAAGTTACTGTGTTTAAAATCATCTAGTATGTTAGTGTCGATAAAACTTTAAACCCTACGAACTTTACGGAAAAAAATGCAGTGCGCAATTTTATTATATTTATTAAAATTGTTACTGTCTCCTTGTACTGTATTGAACAAAATAATTTTAAAAGACTGTTTTGTACGTTTATTCTTAATATAAAAGTTCATCTCAAATTTCAAAAACATGTTTTGTACGTTTTTATTCTGAATATGAAATCTCACCTCAAATTTTAAATAGCTTTTGAACATATAAATGCTCATCTCATATTTCATCTAAGTTGTATTGATATATTTGTCTAGTTTTTTTCAGGGTGCCGAAGATTAAATCAGTAACTGGAAGAATACAATATTATTTAACAAACTGTCCTTTATATTGAAATTATATAAAACGGAATATAATCAATAAAACCTAAAAATAAGGTTTAAATTATAGATCTATGCAAACTTATTCATACGAATTGAAACGATCTTTTGATGTCATCAGCCTAAATAGCTATCTGTGAACCGTTCGAATAAGAAATCGTTCATGTTAAACATGTTGAATTATCGTAAATGATATTACATGTTTTTTGTTTTGTGTGAATAGCGGGATCGAAATGATTATACATTATTGCGCTATATCAATGTGTTATTTATAGAGACATATTTTTATGATATTCTTGTTTGTACTTTTTTAACAGATTATTAATTAAGATAAGATATAAAAGATATAAAAGTAAAATTCAATAGGTGAAGGAAACGTTCGCTAGATACAACGCATCACAAAATACGGAACAATTAAACCACTTAAAAGTACACACTTTAGATATACTAGCAATATAACAATTTCCTCAGATTTAACATGAATGATTTTATATCAATATTGTTATATGTATTGATTCTTATCACAAATAAGTTGATACCAAATAGTTAAAAAAATTGCTTGTAATTTCTAAATAGGTTTTAAAACGACTTAAGCCTAATTTTTTAAAAAAAAAGCGGCGTAAGGTCCCCAAGTAAAAGAAGATTATGAATTAAACTTTGCACTAACGTATCAGGACAGCATATTATTCAATATACATTGTAATGTTGTTTTTTTGGCTTTTGTGTAGCAAATCTTTTGTAATCTGTAATCTGTAAAAATGTTTTGTTTTTTTTCTAATCAGTCAAATATGCATTTAATGTTTTAGAATTTCACTTGCTGATGACCTATGCTTGAACATGTCTCTTTGTATGTCGGTGGTTCTTAGGGACATCGGTGTTAACGAGAATATGGTGATTAGGAAAAAGCGGGCGTCGTTCTTGACCGAATCATTGACGACTTTATGTTTAAGATCTTTCGAGGATACAAAACAGAATATATATTTGATAGCTTTACGGAGGGATCTACAATAACGTGTTTAAACTCTGATATAGATAAATTGGATTTCTACGATTTGTTTAAAGTAAAGGATTGTCAACAAGGAAATAAAAGGTACTGTGTAAATACCGAAGACGATTAGACAACCCTAGGCTGTTGTCTTCTCCGTCGTTATGGCAGTTCCAATTTTGTATTGAGTAGAAATTTCATACCGAGAGCAAATGACGCTAAGGTATATGAATTACATGGACCTGCCATTCATGTTAAGGGAAAGAATTCATATAACGATCAAGGCTATACATTGCTTTGTTATGCTTAAATTGGCCAAGAGCTGCCAGGAAATGGCTAAATGATGATGGTGTTGGAATACGGCCAATAAAGGACATTTAAACGTTTGCACAACAGGAAATTTAAACGTTTGCACAACAGAATGCCAGTTGGTAGTAAAGAATGTAAAATGGAAAATTACGATCACAGAATATCTATATCATTAGTGGAAAGAGCTCTAATGTTAAGCTTGAATATCACACAATTATGATACTTTATTCGTATGAAACTTATCATAAAAATATTCATCAATGTTGACGGAGAAAATGTCATCTCAAGCTATATATGCAGGACTGTCCTTTTTCATTGTATAAAACATACGCCTTCAGTCTTATGGAAAGAATCAAAATTGTTGAACTGTTTAACGCTATGTTTGTCGTCCTTTCAATATTGTGTCCTTACTGACAATTGTCCACATTTTATTGTACATTATAACAATTTATTGTTCAGGCGGATAACAACCAAATTCAAAACAAATGCTATTAAGAAAATAAATAAAATAGTGTTTTTAGGCGGGCTTGAACTACTGACACTTGTTCAAAACTTAAAGTTGAATTCAGATTCACAGCCAAAGACTAGTTATCTTACTGGATTTCTCTTCCGAGATACTGGAAAGGATGTTCATGATTGTTATCAGGGTATCATATTTAGGGCAATGAATAAGGATGTTCAAAAATCATTATGTTATATATATTCTTTATTTATATTTTTTCATATTTCCTTATTTTTTTTAATTATATGCAGCATAAGTTGGTGAATTATTCCTTTATTATAGCATACAATCGGCTATTTTCCTTCTTTTGCCCATGTTATAACGGGACCAAAATCATGTGTTAACATAGTCACGCGCTCTTGTTATAGCCCGGTTTTACCTATGCGCAACTTGTTATAGCCCGGTTTTACCTATGCGCAATACATACAGGGCCCAGTAAACACACAAAGACTGACGATTTTGTCTGTTTGCCAAAGGTTCATACGCTCTTGTTATATTGAAATTATTGATTCGAGGGCCTCAATCGCATAACGGCGATGTTATGTTGTTTATATTGATAAATGCTCTGTATATTTCTTTGAGAGAATAATGATTAGTGTCTGATATTTTTATAAACTTCTGTTTTAAAAAAAACGATTCTGATCATACTGATGCCACTGATCTTTTTTCTACCGTGAATCTGAAATCATTCTAGAAATTTCTGAGAGAGAGAGAGAGAGAGAGAGAGAGGGGGGGAGAGATAAACTGTCTTTTCTGTCATAACTTGCAGAGTAAAGCATTAGTTACACCTCTAAAAGTCTACAACCATGGTTTGAAATGAAATAGCATACAATCAAATTATTAATGTATGAATCGCTCTTATTTCAATCATTCTTTTGTGACCTTGAATTCATTGAAATGGAAAATTATATATGGAGAAGGACAGAATTCCTCAAGATTCAAGATTCTCTGATTCTTCATCGTTTTTCTCTACTTACAACAGGCGATATCCTATATTAAACTTATTTTTTAAGACAGTTAAAAAGACCCCATTTGGATAATATTTAACAACCGATCAGAGTTTAATTACTTTTTACTATTTTCAGAGTTGAAATAATGGCAGGATTAATGTTCAACGTTGAAACACGTATTCGGGCTATAAATGCGTACTTGTGCGTCTGCAGATATGAATGCACAGAAAATATGCATTGATAAACAGGATTAACTACGATAAGAATCCGATTTTCACTTATATTTAAGTGAATCCATTAGAGACGGTCTTCGATATAAAAAACCAAAAGTTTATTTAAAATAATTTACAAACTTATTCAATCAAACCGTAATATTGCAATTTAAGTATGTGTTTCTTTAAAGAAAATCGATAGCTAGCAAAGTATTTCTACATTAACAGCGCACTTGAATAGTTTATACATTTTGCGTATATATAATAAATATGTGTTTGTATTCGTTGAATATGTATTTTATTTGACGATCAAGATCATTGTATTGATTTAAACGGATTATTGTTTAAGATTAAGGTAAGAGAATTTTGGAGGTAATTTCAATGAAATCTGTAATAAATCATCATTGCTTAGTACTATTTTATACATATTTTAAACATAATTAAACAGTTAAATAATTGCGAAATGTATTTAGTAAGTCGGTGCTTAAGGGCGTGTACGGTATTTTTCAAGTATCACACAACCATGCAGAGACTCGAGACTCAAACAAACCGAGTCTGCAACTTTTTGAACTTACGTGTTGAACAAGTTTTCCATTTTGTTATTTTGACTCTGAGTTCAAACTGATTTGCTTGCTAATTAAAAAATATGTGAAAGAAATTTGCTTGGTATATAAGTAACATATAGTAATGTATAGCCAGTAATCGTCTGTTTTGTTTACATATATATATTTAAGGATGGCTCGTGATCCTGATCATTTCACGTATATGTCTCTATGTCTGTCTGAAATTCTATACGATATTGGTGTGAATGAAGATATGGTAACGAGAACGAGACGGGCTTGGCTTCTGAGAGAATCACTGACAACTGTAAGTCACAGATCAAGAGCGATGCAAAAAACAGATTATATATTTGGCAGTCTTACCGAGGGGGCTACAACAACGGGGTTACGCTCAGATAATGATTTTTTGATATTCGGTGACAATGACGAAGTTTTTTTCTGATATAAAGAAATGCAAGCCATGGCAGCTTAATTATGTGATAACAGAGGCTGAGTCTACACCCCCTGGGTATTGCTATCTGGGTTTAGTCTTTGGTAACAATCCAAATCAAAATCTAAAAGAAGTCCTTATTCCGCATGTAACATCAATACCTGCATTCTGGAAATCAAATGACGGCGAAGAGTACGAGTTACACGGACCTGCCTTCCATTCTAAGGGACAGACCACATACAATGACCAAGACTATGTTTCTGCATACTTTTGCAAAACCTGGCCAAAAAGCGCAAGGAAATGGCTATCAGAAGAAGGTGTTGGTCACTGGCCAACAAAAGAACTAAAATCATTTGCAGAACAGAGTGGTTGTTTTCTTGTCCCGGTTGGTAGTAAAGGAAGTAAAATGGAAAAATATGAATACAGAATATCTACATGTTTAGCAGAAAGAGCTTTAATGTTAAGTTTGAATATTACACAATTAAGATGCTATATTCTTTTGAAAATGATCATGAAATCATTCATCAATGCTTTGGTAGAAGATGCCATCTCAAGCTATATATGTAAGACTGTTCTCTTTCACTGTATAAAATATACACCTTCAAACTCATGGCAAAACTCTAAATTGTTGGACTGTTTAACGCTATGTTTGTCATCATTACAATATTGTGTTCTTATTGGCAATTGTCCACATTTTATCATACATGATAACAATATATTATTAGGACGAATAACATCTCCGTTTAGAGAACAATTTATAGAAATAATAGGATATTTGGTACTGTCATGCGGATATGCACTTGGTAATGTTCCACATGAATTGGTTGGGGTAAGGTTACATATAAAAATGAATGTAAAGTACCTACCGCTCCTAAAAGAAATTTCAATCAACAGACGTATTGGGATTCTTCTGAGAGACACAGGGAAGTGGGTTCAAGATTTTTATCTATTGAGTTTGTTTGACATTAAATATAAGAATAAAGTCGTTGCATTATCGTTTTTATATTCTTGCGTATATGCGTTGGTGAATATTTACAATTTAGGTAGCCGAATAGAACGTTTAGCATGTAAATTACTTGCAGCAGAGCTTAGTTCTACAATAGGTTCACTTTTGGCCATCCCTGACATAATGTCTTCTTTGCCTATTTCGAAAGCGTCATTAGAGTGGTTTGATGCCAGCCTGGATTCAAACGTTTCCTCTAACAGATTAAAACTGGCCTCAGTTTTCTACACTACTGGTGAAATACATAAAGCTTTCTCAATAATCAAAGACGTTGAAAATCGTTACGATATTGATACAGTGGAACCAGTTTGCCGTTGTATTGAACAACCAAGCTATCTAGCAAGAGAAGGATTTGTCAAAGCCGCTGAACTTTATAATGAAAATGGTTTGAAATATGTTGTTGCGTATTGTGTAAATTTCTTGCGCTGTGAAAGTAGATGTATGCCCAGAGAGTTGCATTTAGAAATGTACAGGACGACAACAGCCGAACAAAACTTGCGGCATTCAAAAAACCAATGGCTAGATCTTGCATTTGTTGATTCTCTCACATTCCTTTTATTTCTAAAATACAAGATTTTTGGTTATTTAGGAAAAAAAGCAGAGCAGAGTAAAGCGTTAGATGATCTTATCAAAGTCATCCGTTTTGAGCCAAATTTAGGTCACAGAGAAACTGGATTGAATTTAGTGGGACAAATTATGGTAGAAAAGGGAAAGTTATTTAAAGCACTTCTTTTCTTTCAAGCGTCATATAGACTGCAAAGGGAATTAAACGCAGCAAAGATTCATTTATGCATTGTAATAGCAAAATTGTTGGGACAAAAAAAAGCCAATGAAGACGTGTAACATTATAGTCCTTCCAATATGTTTTGTGGCTGGAATGTAAACTTGGCTTATTGATTAAAATGTCGCTCGAACCTACAGCGGTGAGATGCAAGCAGTTTGAGGTCCACGATCGAAACACATTGCCACGGATGCACCTCTCACAACAACCGTGTTATTATAACTGTATTTAAAGATCCTGTATGTTTTGTGATTGATATTGTTACTGTGTGTATACCACACTTGCAAAAAATTATATATGTATATAATTATGCAAATAAAACAAATTTTCAAAGATCGAAGAATATGTAAAATGAGTACTGCAAATATTTGTGCACATTATATTTAATCAATAAAATACATGTATTCATGTCTTATTGGAAAATTTGACTAAAAATGTACAGAAAATAAATTTCTAATTACCTCCCTTTATTTACATGAAATGTTAAATTGGGTAATATCTTTATAAATAATGCTTATTGGAACTTACAGTATTGACAAATCTTAATTTGAGCATCATATTTATGAAATAAAACCATGAAAAAGTTGTGTTACAGGATCTTTAATGAATTTCGGATGTAGCGTTGGTAGAAGTAGTGAAATAAAATAGAGAAAGATAATCTAGAAATGTCTGTTTTAGGTAAAAAATATTCTTCTTTTGAATCTTTTACAGCCGCTTGTTTTACCCTACCAATTTCGTGTCCTTCCGGACTGTGGAGGCTGCGTTCCACGAATGCTATACCTCTCTTGTCCATCTTTAGTCTCATATTTTAGCTATGCTTAAAGAAGTTTTCACACAGTTCAGACATCTACAAGTGTATATATATTATCTTAATGTTAATAGTTGAGTACTGTTGTTTTTTAACCATTTCACACATTTATGTTGTATATGAATAATATTATATCTTCATTCTCCATCATATTTTCTGTTTTCTTTCGACGACAAACAAAAAATGTTTTTATTATATTGCTAAAATAGATACAAAAATGACGTTTTAGCATAAGTATAACAATAATTGATATTTAAGCATGCATAGTAACATATTAATAAGCATTTTATAACATTTAGCATACATATGGCATTTAATTGACATTTTTGTAGCATACTGACATTTAAGTATACATGTAGTGTAGACATTTTTGATTTACACTTCAGCATACATACGGATATTTTATTACACATTTTGACATTCATTAATCAGGCCTCGATATTAGCGTTGGTCCGAGACCACCTGATTTTGACAAGGACCACCTAATTTTACAAGCCACTGGTCCGTCAGGCCACTTGAATTTTCTGGATGGTGTGAGGCTCAAGTAGGAGCATGATGATTTGGTCAAATAACATAAGAGCCGCGTCATGACAAAACCAACATCATGGGTTTGCGACCATCATTTATTCAGACCAGCCTGCGCATCCGCGCAGTCTGATCAGGATCCATGCTGTTCACTATCAGTTGCTATAGGGTATGTAAGCGAACAGCATGGATCCTGATCAGACTGCGCGGATGCGCAGACTGGTCTGGATCCATGCTGGTCGCAAACCCATTATGTTGGTTTTGTCGTGACATGGCTCATATATGTGGTGTTTCAAAATATTTGTCCGATGTACATTTATATGGTTCATTAATCTCGTCAGTTAAAGAAGTTCTAAATCATCAATAACTTTCATTTAAACTCGCTTACATTTTGTTTATGCAAGTTGAAAGAGTAAAGAATTTGTTATAATATTTTAAGTAGAAAATGCATTCAAATGATGCTTGTACTGCATTTTCTTCAAATATGATATTCAGATACTTGTATAATGGCAGCAAACGAAAGGAAATGGAGAAAAAAGTTATTCTTGGCTACTTATCTTATTTCAACAATGAGTGATCAATTTCTTCCACAATTAAAATTACTTTAAAAGGTTAATAAAAAGCTCCATGTCATAAATAAATATCAACAATCAACAGGGAGGTAAACATTCTGTAAAATTATAAATCTGTGGAAAAAAACAAGCTCAACTACAGTTCTATATACATGTTAGTTTTACTTTATTATCCTTTAGATATTTCCTTGTTTTCAATGATAATAATAAGATAATTTAACAGTTTTATTAAAAATGTTCATTTATAAAAGATAATTGTTATGATTATAAGAGTTAAGGGAGAAGTCACTTCAATATAAAATTTTACAGAAATGCGTGCCCTGTTGTGTATTTTTAAATGAGATAAAAATCAAAAACTTTACAAAAAGAATACCTGATTACTGACTTGCTCTACTCAATTTCTGATTAGATGAAAACATATATCTAAAAATATGTTTTCTTAAGTTGCTATTGTAAGCTAAATCTGCAGTGTTTTTTTTTATGAAAAGAGTAAAAAAATCAAAAACAATAAAATAATAATAATTGACCACCTGACTTCCGGAAGGACAACCTAAATTTCAAATCTAGTGGTCTGGCTTACCACCTGCTAAAAAAGTTAATGTCGAGGCCTTTCTGACATTTTAGCATACATATTGACATTAAATTGACATTTTAGTTTACAGATTGACATTTTAGTACACATTTCGACATTTTAAAAACATATTGACAATTTAGAATACATATTCACATTTAAAGACTACTACATATTTTGACATTTTAATATACAATTTTATATATGAGCAAGCATATTGGCATTTTAGTATACATTTAGACAATATAGCAAACATATTGACATTTTAGAATACATATTTTCGACATGATTTGGGACTCTTTTTCTGGTCTAGGAGTCCTAGTACTCCCATTCTTAAAATTTAAGTGAGAACCCTACTATTGACATTTTAATATACATTTTGACATTTTAGCTAGCATATTGACATTTGAGTATACATTCTGACATTTAATATACATTTTGGCACACATATTGGCATTTAAGTATACATTTATACATTGCAGTATACATATTGACATTCAAGTATACATTTTTACATTTTAGATATATTTTGATTATCTATAATTATGATAATATATATAATTTGATTATCGATTATCTTACATTTTAGATTTATGTATACATTGCATTTTTTTTTATATATTTACATTTTAGTATACAATTAATATATGTTTTTCTTCACAACAATGCATGCTCTTTGTGATATAGAAATGGAAAATAATATCCAATTATTTTTTAAATAATTTAAACAGGATGTTTAATCAATTCAAAGTGAACATCTCAATACATGAATGTTAAAATGTTGGAAAAACAGGTCTTACGAGGTCTTGTAGGCCAAATGACCTTATTTTACCATGTTAGAAATACATGTAGACATCTAAAGAGAGTTAATTTAAAGTTTATCTCCGTAGCCCGTGATGTCAGTTTCATAGGTACAAAGTAAAATCTCCTCACTAATGCGAACCAATTATGCATAATGCATATCAGTACATCGTTATATATGAATACTCTGTCATATGATTTGTAAATACTCTGTCATGTGATTATATATTATTAGCAATTCTACTCTTATTTCACCCTCTGGCCACAGCTTCTTCATAACTAGGCGGAGCTTCAGTGTAGTTAGGCGGGCTAACATTAATTTGACAACTTTCATTTGCATATCCATGTAGTTGGTCTGAGTTTGAAACTGCAAATATTTGACTGTCAGATCTACTGTTCTGACGTCTAGATGTCCTAGATATTCGTAGAATCAAACAAGTTATCAATGTTCCACATGTCACTGGCACAATTGCAAATAAAAGGATATACATATAGACACGAGGGCGGCAGTATACTGTTACAGATGTGTCAAAAGAATTTTCAGGTGGAACATAAAATACCACACTTGTAGTTCCTGATATCGGTATGGGCACGTCGCAGTCGAAATCATGAAAGCAAACGATTGACGACCCTTGCATGTTATATGTTTTTCTGTTTAATCTGATATCTACTTGTGCTTCAGCTGGTCCTGGTTTTATAATGCTGTAATCATCGTTTGCTAACAGGAAATAGTACTGGTCTGAAGTCGAGGCTGTGATATCAAATTTCGATGCATATTTCTGAACAGAGCAATAGAAAATGTAGTGATAGCTTTCATAACAGTCATTACAGTCTGCATTTTCAATCCAAGCATCAAGATTGTCTTTGCCTTTAATGATATAGAGATCCAATCTGTCATCCGGGCATACAGTTAACACAACTGAAGACCCTTCCAGGAGGTAAAATCCCCAATATTCATAGCTGTTTCTCGAAATCGAGGCACTGATACTTTTTTCATATTTCACAGATGAAGTTTGGTTAATCCTAGGTTTGGATGTGAACTTGTAAGTCATTATTTGGGAAGATGAATCAATCAGAACAGATTGACAAAATGTTGACGATATTTTGTCGACGCTTCTCATATCTTCCGGGGAGGCTGACAGATTAACCGAATGGTAATGTCGACCAATTAATCCTCCTGTAAGCCCAGCACCCAAAATACAATAAAACCATGTCAATATTATTCTTGTCTTTGGTTTCATTTTTGTCAGACATAGCAAGAACAAAACTAGATAGCAAAGAGCGCAGCAACATTCGACTCCCTCCCCGTCACTTCCATCTCTTCTTCTGCGCGAATGCCTGTAATGTGATGTGTGAAACGTCCCCGTGGAAAATCCTCCGCCCCCACTGAAACCTCCGCCCCCTCCGCCATGAGAAATACCTCCCGCACCGTGTGTCATATTCAATTCTAAAAATATACTTGAAAGAGTTAAAAACTAAAACAAAACTAAGTACGAATGGAATGTCTACTAAAACTCCATAGAATACTTTTACATCCAAACCACACATTTACATTCTATATATATTAGAGTCACGTGTATCTAAATGTCTATCAAAATCTAAAACAAGCATGTGCATGTGTAAGTTGTAGGTAAAAAAAGACCTTACAATACGAAATAAATCAAACATTATTTTTTACATATATAAATCATTGAATGAGATGATATTACATAAATCAAGTACCATCCGCCGGCTGTAAATCACATGTTTAAAGGGATCGATATTTCTCAAAATTTTGTGATAAGAATGAATTAATGCGAATATGTATATCAAATAACTCTGAATAAATACTTTACCTTTTAAAAAGAATGTTATTCGCAGAAGACGTTACACTTGTAACAATATCTGTTTTGAATTATTAATACATTTATTTAATCAAATGAAGATATGTCCTTTATTTATACATAATGGCCTATATCTCGGGATAATGATTCAATGTTATTTAGACATATACAAGTTACAGTCTCTGATAAACCATACACATGACAAATTATTATTAGGATAATAGATAAAACTTAATTTGATATCGTCTGATCATGTACTTGTAGTACGAAAACATTCGGAGCACCTCGCAAGTTACATACATCGAAGTTAACCGGAAAATGCCGAAAACTTGCGATTTTTTTACAACGATAGCACAATTCATTTCGCAACATGTCACTAATTCATGCTTAGATACAAAATTATACATTTTTATAACATAGAATCATGAATATTTTCAGGAAACAATATGTGAATAGTAAAACTGTTTGAATAATGTGCTGTCAAAATCTGCGCTGTTAGAGCACGCAAAATTCTACATTTTTAACATCTTTATGTAAAAATGTTGAATACTGCTAAAAGCAGCACGCCTCCAGATTTATCCTTTTTTTTTCATGAAAATTTTGAAAATGTATTTAAAAGTAAAATATTGCAAAGTGAACAAAGAAAGTAATTAACATATTGCAAACGGCACTTCCAATCCACGTATATTACCAAAAGGGGTCGAAATATGCAAAAAAATAGCCCGTACTCGTTAGTAACAAAATTTTAAAATATTGATTAAAATATTTTTTAAAACATTATTTAAATGAATAAGATCAAATGTCATTACATTAAATTCTTTGATTTTTAAAAATTTTGGTACAAACAAGGGGTTTTAAATTTTTGTTTTTTTGAAATATTTTTTTCATTCTGGAGGGCCCAATTTTTA